GAAGCACTGTTTAGGTTGAGAATTTGTGAATTTCGCTACAGCTGTACATGTTTTGTCGGCGGGAATCTAGCAAAACTTGTTATTTTAGTACAGTTTTAAAACTACTGTTGCTAAGAATGGTCTCTGTGAGCCATATTTACTGCAGAAAAATAGCTCGCTTCCAGTGCGTTTGTCTGAGTCACAGGGGATGTTTAATTTGGGTCCGAAGCAAAAATTTGGAAGCCTACTTACCGTCATCAACCCGTGCTCTGTTCTCTGATAAAGCACGCTGTTTCAGCCAATCAGAGCGCGCGTTATATGGAAACTTTATTATAATAGAGTATAAAACGTAGAAAAAGCGTGGTGTAAAATCTATACCATAAAGCAAATAAAGAAGCCTAAGCCTTGTATTACACTGTGATAAAGCACTCCGGACATTTGAGAACACGAGTGAAATGTAGAAAACACTCGCCTGCGGCTCGTGTTTTCTACATTTCCCTCGTGTTCTCAAATGCTAGTCGTGTTTTATCACAGAGTAATACACGGCTCAGGCTTCTTTATTTGCTTTATGATATAGATTTTACACCACGCTTTTTCTAAAAAAGTTAGCGTGATAACTGTATATAGTTTCTACTGTCTCACTAAATGAAGAATGCAGAGTAAGATCAACCAGAGATTTCCGACCATTTTCCGAAGATTTTGTCAACTTGATGTAGATTACGAAAACTTTTCTTTCCGTTTTCAGGTGATCATAACATTCCGAATCGGTTGGCGAAGATCGTTCGACTCCAGCACGTTCTGTGACCAAAGCACTATAAGCTCTGGACAGTTGATTGGCATAGATGACTACTTAAAGTGCCAGGACCGTTGCTACGGAAACGTGGGGAGTTTGAAATTCAGTTGCACGGATTTTAGTATAAGTGAAGACTGGACAACTGGCACCAACAGTTTTCAATATACCTTTCCAATTCCTAGCAGATCACCTCGCTACTATCAAGTCAGGTTAGTCTATAGCGATCTTTATAAATTATGATTGAAACAAAAAGTGGCTTTACTTTCATGGCATAGATGAATCCCACTTAGAAATAATAACAATCAACGTAAAGAAAGTTATATCAGTCTGATTTGATAATAAGGCCATCACCTATTTCTTCGGGTAGGATTCGTGTAGAAGACGTTTATTGATTTTGGGTCGGTCGGAAGGAGTGAAAAAAAAAAAGGGTTCCGCCCCACCCCCCCCCCCCCCCCATACCAAAAAGCAAACTGAGAACAAAGACCGACATCATAACC